TATATATATATATATATATATATATATATATATATATATATAATATGTGTGTGTGTAGTAATATATTATACACACACACACACACACACACACACACACACAGAGCTACAGAAGAACTAAGTATACAGACCTCATCATTGGAAACATGGCTCATCAACTCCTATTCTTATCTAGTAGTCACTTGCACTTCATAGCAACTCCACAGGTCCCCAAAACAACTGTATCTGCAACACTGACAGCTGAAAAAATACAGAGCCTAATGCTCCTCATTTACTCAGGAGTAATTCCATGGATTTCAGCTGAGTTACTCCTGATTTACCCCAGTGTAACTGGAAGGATAATTAGACCCACAGTATCTGCTAGCTGCAGGAGCATGTCACACTGAACTAGAGAGTCAATGAAAACATGGACCCCCATCAGTTTGAATTTTGGACCCAATGAACTCAAAGCATATTCGTGTTTAAGTCAAAAGACAGTAGCCACCAGTTATCATACATCTTAACATCATTTTGCCTTCCCTAGAGGTGCTATATTCTGTGTTGCTTCATTTCCTTACATTTCCCCTCTACTTTCCAAAATAAAGAAAACTTTATTTTGGTGAAGATAATTTGGAGTGAATGATTACAGTAGAGCAAGTGCACACCCTTATTAGGGCAAGGGAAACACCAATAAGTACTCAGAGGAGTTTGAGTAGGGACAACAGTACCTGGCTGGATTTGCAGCTAAAGCCTTGGGCATGGGAATCTCATTCCCAAAAGGTGTTGCCAGGATGCTGGCTGCAGCCAACTAGAGCAAAGGGAAAGCCCAATGACCAAGGGGGCAAAGCAACTTGGCGGGGCGGGGGAGGGAGAGGGAAGAGAAGGGATGAGAAGGTAATGATAGCAAAGAAGAATTTCCAAAAGTGGCTCTACCGACATTGACAGCATGGGTTGGAAGGGAACACCTTACCATGCAAGGAAGTAGGGTTGAAGGAAGATCCTCCTGGAGGAGCACTTGTTGGAGAAGAAAGAGGAGTATGTTATTGACTTTAATAATTGGTGAAGCTGTAGAATGGAAAATGTTGTTTGCTTATTCCCAAGTACGCCTATGAAAAGAGAAGAGAACAGTATTGCTGCTATGATCTGTTAACAGTGACAAGTTAAAATGTATGTGTCATGCCCCTGTGTATCTCAAGACTGTAGGTTCCACTTCAGGGCAGACGGTTCAATAATAGGGAAGTAAACCCAGTGCCAGCTGGGGCTCTAACTCCTTAGACACATCAGCTAACCTCACAGCTTATTAACTCCCTAGGCTTTTGCCAGCCTCAGTATACAATTTAAACAATACCCTTGGGATCCCCAGTACATCTTGACACCAAGTAAGTGAACCTCTGTGATATTGGGCCCTTTTACTTTAATGTCACAGAAAATCCAAGTTCCTCTGTTCCAAAGAGACCAGACACATACCACTGGTCAGATCCTCCTTAGATCTCCCTCCTGTACCACATCGGGCAACGCTCAGTCCGATCCTGTAATAAACATATGTAGTCTTTATTAATTGAATGAAAATGAAGGAGGAGATATTTGCACAATGCTAAGAATACCAAAGATTCAGATAGGCAAAGTCTATTATCTTACCAAATTTCTGTTCAACATGACAAGGTCTTATAGTTCAGCTTCTGAGGCTTATCCCAGCTGTGGCATTGTGACACTCAGTACCTCAGAATAGCACCCTGTAACCCCCACATTCACCACTTGTAAATGGTTATATTTTGTACAAAGGATGCCTTATAAGGTATCCTATGAAAAGTCATGATTTGCTGAAACTCATTGTTCTGTCAAAATATGTATAGTATCATTGTATATTGAGTTATGAGAGTTTGGTATATGGTTGTTATTGAAATAGAGTATGTTGCGAGTCTGGAGGGATGCCCACAGCTATCTCTCCAGTGGCAACAAAGAGGGTGACCCATACCCAGACTGGTGTTAAGTGACTATCACCAGCCATTGACCACCAGGGGAATTGTAAACAAGAGATTTACAATTCAATAAGAGACAGTTGCTCAAGTTCTACGCTATGGAGATTGCTCAACTCCGTAACTCAGCAAGGTATCAGGATATGTGATGCTTGACTCCATGTTTGAGTCCATATTTGTCCAGGCACATGAACTGAGTCTAAAATAAGGGACAGTGACATCATGAGTCCACCTCTCTCCTTCCCCACCTACTCTGAAGGCAACAAGAACATTTGGAAGAAAAGACTTTGAACTGGGGAGATTGGTCCCAGGCTGAGCAGGGAATTCAGCCTGTGTATTGAGAATTGTGAACTGCTTTCAATGCCTAGTGGGGCGACAAAAACTGCTTGATTCAAATCTTGCTTAGTTTGATAAAGTTTAGGATTTAAACTGTGATTTTACCTTTTATTTCTCATGTAACCAACTCTGACCTCTATGCCTAACACTTATAATCACTTAAAATCTATCTTTCTATAGTTAATAAACTTATTTTAATGTTTTACCTTTACCTGTAAGTTTGTCTAAAGTGCTTAGGGAATCTGCTCACATTACAACGGCTGGGGCATGTCCACTATCCTTAGATTAAGTGGCAAACTAATTAATGAGCTTGCACTGATCAAGAAAGTCTGGAGCAGTGTAAGATTGTACATTTCTGGTGTGCAAGGCTGGCGCTGGACAGATTTGCTGGTGTCTCCCTGTGTATAGTTCATGAGAGCCTGTATTTAACTTTGGGTGTGCCTTCACATGCTAATGGCTATGTAAGAGCAAAGCCTGAAGGGGTTGCTGGTCACTAGCAGAGCAGTGTGAGAGGTACCCTGATCAAGAGAGTTAAAAGGGGACACAGTGGTCCCACAGTCCAGGTTGTACCTGGGGGGTGTCACAGGTATCTAGACATCCTTCACCTGGAAGACAAAGCCCTTGCCTTTTAAGATCCAGTCTGGTAAAGAGAACCTTGTTTCCTTCTGCTAGGCAGCTTTTATCCATAATCCTGCCATGTGACCGTTCTGACTCTAGGGTTCACAGGGGACTGGGGGGAGGTCCATGAGTCAATTCTTTGGTGAAGTAATCCTGTGCGATTCCTCCCTGGGTGGGTGTTTCCCCTTCTACACTGTCCTGTAAGCTGGTTCTACCTGCTGTGTTGAGAATCAAAGCATTTCCTCTGGACATGAGGCTTTTTAATGGGTATTAATTGACCACTCTCTCCCCAAAGGGGTGTAGCCGTTTCTATGAGCAAAACTCAGCAATAATTAATGGCTCATTATTATGGGGTCTGTGCCAGCCATATGAGAGTTATGTAACACACGGGTACAGATATTACTCTTAACATGAGAAATGGAGAGATTAGCACATGAGTATTACAGTCATTCATTCACCAGCATTTAGGAAAATCCAAACACTATACATTTTACTGCAATTTTAACAACTTCATAACGTTCTACCAGCATTAAGCCTGACAGACTCTTAGTTGATAGATAGGCCTAGACTCAGTTTGCCTAAGTCCACAAAGTCACAAGTTTGTAAAGATGGGATTCTCTCTTTGCACTCCATTTATAATGTATCTTGGATTGATTTTGAATAAGACACTGAGAAAATACATAGATTTGAATGTAACAGACAAAGACCCAGTTTGAGATCTGATCCTGCTCCCACTGACTTCAATTAGAGCAAGAGAAATCACACAGAGAGGAAGAATGCTACTCTGATGTCTATTAATTTTGTTAATGTGTTTGCAAAGGACTTACATGCTTAAACATTACAATGTAGAAAACAAAAAGAAATATCTATAATACAAAAAGACTTATGTTTCCTTCCCAAACTGACTCAATTGGTCAAAATATAAATTGCCTTTGGTATTTGCCCACCATCGGTAATCATTTAACCTATGAGACTGTCCTACATCTATCAACCCCTCTCTTCAGGAAAAGCCTAGGAATACAGATGTCTAGCACTCCTGAGAGGTTTTTAGATTAAGGTTTTATAAATCATAGATGATAAATGATATAATACTCCTGAGGGTCATTTAGACATAGCCTAGGGTTCTTTGTATTTAAAGCTCTATGTGCTTACTTAGCATCATTAATAATAATAAATCTTTATTACAGCAGTGCCTACAGACCAACCAAGAACACGGCATCATTGTGGTAGTCACTGTACAAGCACCGAGTAATAGATGGCTCCTGCCCTGAAGAGCTTACAGACAAATATCATACTTGTTCATGTGACTGTATGTTTACTTTGTTATTTTTTGTAAGATGCTTGAGGAAAATGAAATTCCTGCTAGAGAATCCTACTTATGGAATCCCAGCAAGAATTTAAGAGGATTGTTGGGAAATATTGTTATGGTTGTATTAAGGCCTAAAGTTAAAGTGCTCCATCTTTGCTTCACTTGGATTGACTCCTCTATGCTTGACAAATTGCACTCGGACTGCTCCAACTGATTTGCAGTTCAAACAAGTGTTAATTTTAGTGTAAAAAGCCTGTGTGAAGAGGTTTTAATTAATGTCTGTTAGAAACTATAGTCCTCAACCAACATGGTGCTGAGCACCTGCAGCTCCCATTGGCTTTAGCAGAAGATACTTTGGGGGTGCACTTCTTAGGGTCATGCCCTATTTCCACAAACTCTATTAGTGCGGAATTGGATTGTTCAAAGGAGCTCACAACTGTCAGTGCTTTATCTCATACCTTTGTTATCTTTCTTTCATCTAAAAACCGGTTAAATAAAGGGCACAAGCAACAGTGAACAATTCTGTTGGGACTTGCTTGTTCATGGTCTGCCAGTGGAAGTAATCAATATTCTACTTATGTTACACTCCATTTATGATCACAACTTTGCCTGAAATGCAGAGTGCACATTTTATGTCTCTCTACAGTATGCATGTATATTGTTTACAAGGTTTGGAAGAAAGGTTGGCCTTTGGAGGTTTCTGCGTGTTTGAGGTCTTCTGAGTGTTATTTTTTGTTATTTCCGTATGCTGTAGAAAATATCAGGGCTACAGGGCGATATTTTAAAGGTTCTTCTCTGTTACAGGTATATGTTTCAAAAGTGAAATCTCAGAGAAAATCTTTGGGTGTGGTTGGAACCAGAATCATTTAAATGCTCTGATTTTGTGGCATTAGATTTTCTAAGAAAACTGTTAGAACTAAGCATAAATTGTTAGTATCTGCCTATTTTATTTCTCCAGAAGCATTTCCCAGGGACTGCCCTCTCTTGTGTGTTCATGCAAGTTGTATGTCTTCTGTGGCTTAAACCCATGAGCGGCGGGTATTGAAGGCAGGGGAAGGCTCCACCCCCAGATCCCTTCCAGTTTCCCAGTGCTGTGCTGCGGGGGGCTCTTCCCCCCGTGTCCGGGTCCCAGGCTCAGGCTAGGGCTAATAGGGGCCAGCCTGCATGCCGGGGCTGGGGGAGAGGGGTCACGCCACCTGCCTGGCGCACAGGGGGTGGGAGGCAGGGCGACCGAGGGGGGAGGGGGCTGGCGGCCATGTGGGGGGGAGGGGCACTGGGCTTCAGTGGGAGGGATGGGGCCTCAGACAGAAGGGGTGGGCTGGGCCAGGGGCTAGTCTCCCCAAGCCCGGAGTTCACCCGCAGCCCATGCTTAAACCTTCGCAGTGAAATTGAAAGTAGAGCTCCATGGCGCTCTATATTTAAAGAGAAATGAACACCAGTGCACTAGAAAACAGATTACTCTCCAACTGAGAGTATATATGTATGTTGTTCTGGACTCCCTAACCTGTTAAACTTGGAAGAGGAAGATCTACTATGAGTTTCAGCCAGATATAAAATGAATGAGCTGGGTCTGATGAAATGGTAGTACTGGAAATTTTCACTGTCAAAATGTTATTTCCAATAGGCTACACCTTGAGAAAGGAATGATTCCTCTGAAGAACTTACATAAACTAACAATACCCCCATTCCACATACATGAGTTATTTGGTTAACTTTACAGGAGCTGTATGAACATTGCTGAGACCAAAGAGTTAAACACAGGGCTGCATAATGGAGAAGGGGTCATTCAAATAATATTGCAGGCAGTCTTTAGGTTCTGATGAAAAGGGCCTAATAGCAGCAGACATCTTCTGTCTGTGCATATCCGGAGAACAGGTAGCTGTAGGATTCATGGCAGTGTAGTATATTACCCACATTGCTCATCAATGCAGCTCCATCCTGAGCCAGAGGGAATTCACAAGGTTATGCATTTTCCATTGTCCATTTTGTCCTGGACCTACACTGAGATTGCCAAAAGGGCAAAATCAGTACTTGGTTCTGCTAGTGAAGGCAGGGGGCTGGACTTGATGACCTTTCAAGGTCCCTTCCAGTTCTAGGAAATAGGATATCTTTATTAATTTAATTAATTTATTTATTTGTCCAGGAGGGGACACACACCATACAAATGGACACAGACTCCTTCCACCTAAGGTTAGATGTTCACAAGTGCACGTTTTCAAGAAAAAAATTGCTTCTCGGTTTTTTGCATACTTCAACAAAAAAAAAAAAACAACTGTCCATTTTCCTGAAATGTTGTAAAACCAAAAACTTATGGAGCTTCAAGATCACATGAAATGAAATGGCAGAATGTTTCAGGCATTTTTTTGTAAAACCATTTTGGAGGTCAATTTTGCCCATTTCTGATATCAAACATTGGGAGTTTAGGTTGGCCTTTCAGAAATGTCTCTGAATAAACCACTTGTTGTACTAACAACGTATCTGAATTTGAACCAGTGGCCTGACTGTCACCCTGAGATATGGAGTTCCTTCCCACCCGCACCAAACATTGATTATACAGTTATATTTTCTAATCTGTTGATCTAGGTACGTATATGGCCCTTGATCCAGACCAATCAATGGAAGTTAGGAGCCTAAATACCTTTGTGGATCTGGGCCCTTATCACTAGAGAATCTGATACACAACTACATACTTTAAGTCCAAATGGCTCTTCATATAGGTTAAGACAAAACCAGAAAAAGCAAACGTGAAGACTCCAGAGTGTTGTTTATATTAGGGCTTTTGACAGAAAATTCCCACTCTTGATAACAACTGAATCAGTGATAGTGATTCTGGGAGCCCTCGTATAATGGCTCTCCCTCTCCGTGCCATTTACAGCATTGTGTCATTGAAACCCACCCAGAGCAAGTCTATTCAACACAGCGCTGATAAAAGCTAAAGTCTTAGGAGCCTTGCTACCTTAGGGCTCCCAGCATTGCTAAATGCTGGTGCAGCTGGCTCATGAGAGAGCAGAGCACATCGCTCTACTGTTAATCCACACCTGAACTGAACACAAAATGACAGCTGCCTCCAGCAGACTCTTAGAAATGTAAAGCTGCAGTATGCAGAAAAACAAAATCATAAGTTCCATAGACTATAGTTATAAAGTTCTGCCTAGACTAGTTACAAAAATAAAATGTAGTACATGACAGCAACCTACTAAATTAAAAAAAAAAAGGAGGGAGAGGGAGGATGAGAACATTTCTCTTAAAAAAAATAAGCTGTACTTCCCAATGTGTTTATTCCAGGAACACATTTATTGTGAATATGCAACTGTTCTTGCTCTTGCTCAGAGAACTGTATAGATCAGTGCTTTGCTGTCATTTTGACTAAGAGACGGCCGCTACTGCAGCAGAGTGATGCCTGAAAAGCTGCATGACGACTGATTCCAGTAGCGGTCTTGCTCTATTTCAGCTAACGAGAAACCTGCACTCTCATAATAATACAGTTCATTCCACTTTTGTTGAAATGATGTCTTCTAATTGGTCATTTAATGGTTTGTTTGTTTGTTTTTATTAAATCAGGAAATACGGGTCAGCGTTCCGGCAAGCTGATATCGAGGCAATAATTGTCACATATAAACTAAGAGTTGTTTATGCTCAACACAAATGCTGGAGAGGAGAAAAATTAATGATCTTATCAGGTAAAAACAGGTGCTGTGGTCACATCAAGGTCGCTAGCTTTGAAAAGAACTCTCTGAAAACTTAACAGTGGAATGTTTCTAGCAAGGTGCTGGAGTGTTGTAGAGATAATGTGCTCAGCTTCCTGGGGAAAGGAACGCAATGTGTTTTACAAAAACTAACTGATGTTAAGGGCAGAGCACGGTGGATGGGGAGAAGGATGTTTGACTTATTTGTCCTTTGGACTAAAATGTAAACAATGGGTCTAATTCCCCACTCCCTTGCCTAGTGTACAACCTGTACACTTGTGCAGAGTGAGTGCAGCATATATATTAAATGCTATCAGATCAGAACAGTTGACTATTGCACAGGTGTAAATGACTATACAAGGTGCAGGGCAGATATGAATCAGGCCCAATGCGTGCAGGGTTAAGTCTATGCCACTTTGTTCTTGCATAACAGTGCAGTTATGGTGACTAAGTAAAAATGGCATCTTTTTACTCAGCAGAACTGTTCCCTGAGTGCATTCTGAGTCACATCTACTTGCTTCCATGACAAAAATACATTTTAATTATCGTTTATTCCTGGTAGCACTGCAGAACGATCACATCTATAGAAAAGAGCTGAACTCTTTTCTGGCTCACACATCAACAGAATGTAAACTAAGTTCCAACTGCCCAATTCTGCCCTCAGTTACACCTGTATAATTCTACTAAAAGCATTAGTGTCAAACAGGTCAGAATTTTTGCTTCCTAAATCTTTATTACTGATGATGAAGCTTGAGCAATAAAGAACAGTTTGTCCTGTCGAAGGAAAACAACAATTCTCTGCTTGTAAACTTAAAGTCTGACCTAGAAGTCACTGACCTATAGTCATCATGGCAGCTCACAGTCATGTTGATAGTCACTTTTCAGAGCGGAACTTCACCTTAAGGAATGGATGAAAATCACAGACAGCTTTATCCAAGTCCAGCTGAAGTAAGTGAAAAGACTCTCACTGACTTCAAGAGGACTAGAATCAGACCTATGATTCCTAGCAACATAATAGGCTCAGAATCCCAAACCACTGTCTTAGAGATGAGAGGCATTGGGGGTGGTAATCAAGGTATAAAAAAATCAATATGATAGACTGGTGCTGTCTTTTCCTGAAAACTAAGGTGCTGCATTAATAGATTTGACATTCAGATGAATTTTTCTAAAATAAAAACAAAAAAGTGAGTATTACAGTTTGCACCATTCATGTGGAATACAAGCTGTATCAATTATATCATTATTAAAAAAACATTTCCGTATTAAAATCCATTTACTGATTATAAATCCTAAAAACTGCTGGCACCATGTGCACATGGACCTGCTGCCTTTGTGTGCATCAGTCAATTTCATGCCTATTAAGTTCTGTATCCCTGGGGATGGTAATATACTGGTAAGCACTTTTTTCCCCTGGACTGTAGCATTGCAAAGTTGGCTCAAAAACACACAAAGAGCAATAAAAAAAAGTCAAAGAAAAATACATTATTGGAAATAAAATTGTAGTATTTCCTAAAATTGACAGGTGGACACTCATTCTGGTAAAATAAGAAAATATGTATTTAGACAGTATTTACTGACTCTAAAATAGATAAATATTTATCATGATGTGGTATAGCCTTATAATAGCTATTCATTAAAATCCTGCAAGAAGATTCTCTGCTTCTACAATGCCACAAGAAGCATGTCAATTCCAGTGCAATTTATATCTTATGAACATACACTCTCTCTCACTCTAGATGTATACATATAAAAACATACCTTTAATCACCTTGCCTGTCTGCTGCTCACTAGTTCATTTCCCTGGTACTTATTCTAACATTGCAGCGATGAGTGTGATGCAAAACCATAAACTAGATAAAGCATTGTAATGTCACTGCTGGAGCATCTAGAAGAGAGAAATGGACTGTGAGAGATTGTTGGAGAATTTTGTATTTAAGCAAGGATTATTACACTATATTGTAAGAAAGCTTATAAAAATACTTCTATTTAAATCTGATAGGTTGGAAAATTCTTCCTTGTATATCTACATTCCTCTTTTTGAGCACATCAAGGGCCAAACTGAGAGCCCTTTGCTCACACTGGTGAGCCCTCTTACTCCCATTGTAGTTCCATCAACTCCAGAAGGCCTACTCATGGGACTATTAACAACAATAATTTTGTTTACTATTGGTAGTGTTTATTATGGTAGTACCTAAAAGCCAACAACGACTGGGGTCCCATTGTGCCCCCAGAGTAACTCACTAACCATTCACAATCTAGTACTACACATCACCATCTGTTTGTTAGCCCATTATCAAACCAAAATGCTCAGACACTGAGCTCTCTCACTCTGCTGTCAGACTTTACCCCTCCATCAACTGGAAGCCACCAGCAGTAGGCTCTGAAGTGACAAATTCAACTTGGGGTGCTATAATAATGTAATGCATGTGACTTCAGTCCAGTTATTCTGATTTACTGCAGTATGGGCAGAAAATGAGACCCTAAGCATTTTTGACAGTTTATACACAGCAAGAACAACTTCACATGTCAACTTGTAGAAGAGTGGACTGAAAAAAAGGGTACAGTCTACATTTAAATAGCGATGGAAGGTGCCATTTTCTTTTTAGCCACAGATTGGGTACAATCGGGTAATAACAGTGGAAGCTTTTTCACGCTAAGCTGGCTAATCACCTCATAACCTATCAGGAAACCTTCCTAAATCTAGTGCTAGGAGCCACCATTCCTTTATTCTCATATTTCTGCTAAAACATTTTTTTCCATAATCCTTTAATTCACAAAAGTGGTGCCTGAGGGACAGTACTTGGAGAACAAAGTCAGCAGCAAGAGCGCAAACTTCCCCCACAGTGCTCCAACAATTTGACTTATTCAAACCACCACTAAGTGTGGGAGGGTAAGTTAGTATTCTGGCTCTTTGACTCCTTTGCTTTCCCATCAGTGTCAACTGTGATGCACACATCTGTCCGCTGAGAGCCACCATATTCACGTCACATATAGTAGGCCAAAAAATAGCCAGATTATAACTTTTCCACTACTGACAGGGGTGGGATTTGAATCCAAGATCTAAGTCACATATTATGTCTCATTGCTAGGCCCTGTAAATGGGAATGCTCACCATCAGTGCCAGTAGAGGTCAGGCAAGGGTGCAGCAGGTTGTCTCCCTCCCTGACATCCCCCTTTTTAGTTATAGTTCTGTCTTGTGGGGGATCTGTCTCTTCTTTTGTGGCTCAGCCCCCACCATCCAGGTCACATCTCCCCTTTTGGGGTATATGAAAAGAAAGTCTGATCACAGAGAAATCTTTCAGTGTCTGCGAGGGCTTCAGGGCTTTTACCTTAGTTCAGAGACTTTGGGATTTGGGCCCTTGAACAGTCAGGGTCTTTCCCAATTGGATTCTCCCAAGGCAAAAGCTCCTGTTGTTGTCACGTCTTTTGGAGTAGGTATGGGAGCCCAGCTGTAGTTCACCGGGCAGTGACAGAGACGCTGTGTGACAGATGGCTAGAGACGACAGTGGTTTTTAAACCAATATGTTTTAAATAGAATGATTACAATGCACCCTAGTATGTTCACACTATTATTTACAAAGTTTCTGAATATACACAGCACAATTATTCAGATATTGGTTTCTCACCATAGGTCCTCTGTTTAATACCACTTTGTAACCAGTTCAAGTTTGCAATGGACATGGTTTAAAAAAATGATTGTCAGCTTCTTAAATTGTCTTACTTGGGATTTCAAAACCCCCCAAACCAGTGTTATTAAAATGTTGCATTAAAAAGAAGACGTAATCTGGACACCCCCTAAAACAAAAAAATGAAAACAGCAACTGAATCTTTAAAGCAGGGCTGGCCAACCTGTGGCTCCGGAGCGGCATGCAGCTCTTCAGAGGTTAACATGTGGCTCCTTGCATAGGTGCTGACTCCAGGGCTGGAGCTACAGATGCTAATTTTCCAGTGAGCTCACTGCTCAACCCCCTGCTCTGCTTCAGGCCCTGCCCCCACTTCACCCCTTCCCCCCCCCCCCCAAGCATGCCATGCCCTCACTCCTCCCCCACAGAGCCTCCTGTGCATGCAAAACAGCTGATTGCGGCAGGCGGGAGGCGCTGACTGGTGGGGCTGCCAGTGGGTGGGAGGCGCTGGGGGGCGGGAGCTGATGGGGGGCTGCTGACGTATTACTGTGGCTCTTTGGCAATGTACACTGGTAAATTCTGGCTCCTTCTCAGGCTCAGGCTGGCCACCCCGCTTTAAAGCATCATGAACAAAAGGCTGTAACCCATCTATAATCCACATGTGGATTCATGTAATAATTCTTCAATTAGACTTATCTATACATCAGCGCAGGACTGAGAACTGCTGATACACTGCAGATGAAGACATTTATTAGTCTCTGGGCTCCAGCCTTTCTTAAAAAATGATGATCACATAATATAGATTACTTGGCTTATATGTATATTAAGCTGCAATGCCAGCATTTACATTTGCAACATTACATTTTTGCTTTCTTAGGCTCAAGAGAGTTTGCTGCATCTGGTAGGCTTTATTTGCTCGGTTTCCTGTGCCGTCATTTCAAAGCATGAACAGATAATATGATTACTGCACAAATGGTTCCCAATTTTGTTTATCTCACAGATAATAAGAAACAGTTACTTACCTTACAGTAACATTGGTTCTTTGAAATGTGTTGTGCATATATATTCAATTATTGGTGCTCATGTCCCCTATGCACTTGAGTTCGGATTTTTTTTTGCCAGCTGTGTTTGTTGGGGTAGGTGGCCGTGTCTGCACTCGGTGTTCTTGTGCCTTCAACCGAGGGCATAAAGGGTGGGGCTAACCCAACTGCTCCTTTGTTACTTCACCAATACAGAATACAGGTGTTAGACTCCTGGTAGCAAGAAAGGAGGACAGGTCATGGAATATATAAGGACAATACATCTTTTAGAACCACAGTTACTGTAAAGTAAGTAATTGTTGTTGCTTCTTTGAGTGCTTGGCTATGTATATTCCATGGTTGGTGACACACAAGTAGTGACTAAATAACAGGAGGTGGGAAAGATGGGACTATGATTGTAAAACAGCTCTGCCAAAATGGGCATCAGATTTTGATGCTTATACTATGAAATAATGCTGCAAAAACATAAGCACAAAACCCCAGATATGCCTACATATCTCTAATACGGGAGCATTTCTCAAAGAAGCTACAGAAGCTACTCAAGCTCTCATGGGCTGTCACTGGGTCTAAGTTGGCAATTTCATAGCACAACTTAAAGCCTGCAGAAATGCAGTTATAAAATCTCCATGTTGATATGATCTGACTTTCATCCTGATCCCAACAACTACAAATAATCTGGGAATGTCCTAAATGGCTTAGTCTTATTCAGGTAGAAGGAAAGTGCATGCAGAATATCTAGGGTGTACTTTTAGCCCCACCCCCTTTGATGGAATGTGGCTTTGGAAAGAAAACAGGCAGAAGTATTACATGTTCAAGATGGAAATCAGACTACTTTAGGCAGGAACTTTCTGTGAGGTCTCAAGATTACTCTATCTTTATGAAAAACCATGTATACAGATCCTGCCATGCAAACTTATATTGCCCCTACCTTTCTGGCAGGTGTTATTGCTATTTCAAAGGATATTTTGATGGATAGTTGAAATAAGGAATACACAGCTGGTGGCTCAAAAGATGGACCTATTAAACCCATCAATACAATATTGAGATCCCAAGGAGGGGGAGTTTCTCTGACTGTGGGATATACCTGCACAAGGCCTTTCAGGAGCCTAGCTACCGCAGAGCATGGAAAGAGTAGAATACTGCTGAACGGGAGGGTTAAAAGCAGAGATGGCTAGTAGGGGGACCCACAGGGAGCTCATTAGGTAGTCCAGAGTTCTAAGGATACAAGGTAATCCAGAATACCTGGTATCTAAGTTTGAAACAGAGACAACTTAGCTCCGAGCTATGTATGTGAACTGAAGTTTCTTGAAAAATCCATAGATCATGTGTTTGAAGATTGTCAAGGGGCTTCTTCTACCAGAGTGGAGGCATCTGTCACCAGAGTCTTTGATGGAAATAGTGGAGAGCCGGGTACTCCCTTGCCAACTTTTAGAGGGGTCTTCCACCAATTTAATGATGACAAGAGTTCTGGGGGTACCTGCACTTCCAGGTGAGGTTTGGGCTGATATATAGACTTTAACCATCCTTATGTACATTGAAGGTGAATCCTGACATACTGAATTATGTATGTATAGGAGGCCATGTGCTCTAGAAGTCTAAGACAGATTCTCACAGATGTCTGAGTATGACTTTATATTAGATCTGGTCAACCACCTGCAATCTTTTAGGGGGCAGACAGGCCATTGATATGATGGAGTACAGAACTGCCTCTATAAATGCTATCCTTTGAGTAGGAACAAACAAAGATTTATCTTTGTTTTCTTTTAATCCTAGGAAGGTGAAAAGTGGCAGATTCTATTGTAGGAATGTTCCACAAATGAGCCAATCATCTAAGTATGGGTAAACCTTCATTCTTTGTCAGGTAAGCTGCCACTACTGCTAGGCATTTTGTGAATACCCTTAATGCTTTTCATAGATGAATTGATAGGACCCTGTATTGGTAGGGGGGATTGCCCACATAGATATTAGATATTTTCAATGGGCAAGATGAATTGCTATAGGATCCTGGAGGTAGATTACTGCTTACCAATGCAGTGGATCAAAGATTGGAATTACAGAGGTCAGAGTCACCACCCTGAACTTGAGCTTGCAAATGAAATTATTCAATTGTCTCAGGTCCACCATATGGCCCCAGTCTCTTCTACTATATTCTTGAGGCACTTCCTCCAGTGCTCCAAGATTTAGAAGTGACTGCACCTCTTGATTCATAGAACGTTAGATTCCAAGGGCAAAAGGGAACATTGTGATCATGTAGTTTGACCTCCTGTATAACACAGCCCATAGAACTTCTCCAAAGTAATCCCTGTTTGAACTAAAACATATCTTTTTTTAAAAAAACCCATTCAATAGTGATTTACAAATAGCCAGTGATGGAGAATTCACCACAACCTTTGGTAAATTGCCCTCCCTGTTAAAAATTTACATGCAATCTGAATTTGTTTAGCTTCAACTTCCAACCATGGGATCTTGTTAAACTTTTGTCTGCTAGATTGGAGAGCATTCTATTATCAAATTTCTGTTACCCATGTAGTACTTATAGATTGTGATCCAGTCAATAATCGACCTTCACTTTGTTAAGCTAAGTAGAGAGAGCTCCTTTCGTCGCACAATAAGGCATATTTGATGAACATGTTCTCATGAGAGCAGGCCCTAAGTAGGGTCTGGGAAGATGGTTGGGGAGGGACTAGAATTGTATGGAGTAACCCACCTCTATGATTTCTAGGACCCAACGATTTGTGGCAATCCACACCCCATGAAAATAAAATAAATGGCATCTAAATGGAGAGGATATAAGAGGGAGATCCAACACAGGTTGTACACTATTCCCAGCTAAGGAGTCAAATCCCTTACTTTTTGATGAGGAGGGCAGGTGAGAAGACATGGTGGTGAAGATGAATGGTTTCCTCCTCTGAAATTCTGGCACTTCCTGAGTGGTTCAGGTTGTCTACATTGGGTGTAGAATGGCTGCCCTTTATGTAGTTGAGATGTAAGTGTAGACTTACCTAAGTGTAGGAGTGTAGACTCCTAAGGACCTCAGTGTCACTCAAGAGTCCTCATCAGTCTTCACATTTAAAAGTTTGCATCCTTCAAATGAAATATTTTCAATTTTAACATGTACTTCCTTAAGAATTCCTGAGGATAGGAACCAAAACAATCTCTTCATGGCAAACAAGGAATCCATAGATTGGACACTGTGTCCACATCATCTACTTGAAGAGATATACATGCAAGTTGCCCCTTCAAGCTAAAGGATTTAAACGCCTCTCTACCATCTTGAGGAAACCTGTCAGCAAATTTGGAGATAGTGTCCTGTGACAGGGAACGGCCCTCTGCTCTGTCTCCCTGAACAAATGGCTCTGACACCTCCAATTTGTAACCACCACTATGTACTTTATTAGTGTTTTATCAACCACCACCCTCTTAGAGTCCCACATAGAAATTCTATTCACTGTGTCATACAATAAGCATCATCGTCTTTTGCCAAAGAAAGAGAGGGAAGAGATCTCTCCATGCAGAGATCTCCCTTTACCCTGGCCCTGCTGGCCTGCTCTCTCTCTCTTTTTAAGGCTGATCTAATAATTATCTCCTCCTTCCCTCAATCAGGTCTGATAGATCACACAGTGAGTAAGCTGAGACATTGCAAATTCCACAGAGGGTAAGAAGGAACTAGGTGGTTGGGGCCACCTCCACCCTTTAAATACTCAGTTGGAGGCATGAGTAAACTCAGGGTGTAGGGTTGGCCCCCAACAGACATAGCACACACCAACAGTGCAATATATGTGACAAACACTTGAAGAATTTGCCTGATCCTCTGAAATGAGATTTACATAAACTAGACAAAAATATTCAAGGCTGCAAACACAAATATACTAAAACATTTATTATGTATTTTTGCCCTGGATCATTTAAAGTAAGACATTACAGGTGATCTTAATACACAATTAATCAGACATGTCAAACATTCAGGAACAACTAATTAGCACAAGTTATTACATGGTAAAATGGAACTAAAGCACTGCATCTCGCACACCTTGAGAGGAAAAAGCATTGGCCCCCTCCTACAAACAGAACCACCCCTCTCAACCACTTAATTTGGTTTTCTTTGAGGAGTTGTGGGAGGCCCCGTGGCCTTACTTCTTCCATCATGTTGAAAGTGCAGTTGCTCAAAATCTCCACATGATCATCAGGTCAAATGTCAGTTCACTCCTGCCCTCTTATGAACTTTGTGGCTGGGTGCAGTGCGGCAAAGGTTCTTGAGTTCTTCCCCTTCCCCATACAATCTCATTGCAAAATTTTCATGGAAGGCAGCCATTATCACCCTACCTCCAAAAGAGAGCCGCCTTCATTCTATCACCACCTTCTAGCAGCAGTGCTGTGAAACTCTGCCCACTTCCAAAGGGTAGTATTTCCCATAGTCTTGAGGGGACCTTGTCGATAATTGGTTTTTATAAGGGACATATGGAAAGATTAAGTTAGTAACTGAAGCATAATTGGAATGTACATTACTTACTTTATCATGCATACTGGTGGATAGTGGTCAATGACATTCTAATCTTCCTTTAAAAGCATTCTGTTTAATATAATTTGGCTCAGATCTTTTCTACAGAACTAGCTCTGCATTGTAAGAGACCAACACAAAGGTTTGGTCATTCTTTTCCATTTGTTTTTTAAAAATACATTGGAGTTTGGATTATTTAAATCAAATTTCTTTTCAAGTTATTATTAAATTACCCACAGCATCTGGCTTCCAGAGCTTACGGTTTAAATTAAGATGTGACATGACAAATGACAGCGACACAGCAAGTGAGAGTGGCAAACAGCGGGATGAGGAGTAACAAGAGTAGCAGCAATAAGATCACAGAGATATTTAGTTTAAGGCACATGCACATCATGATGGTACAAGGTTTTAAAAAAAATTAAATTGACTCGCTTCATGAGGGCATTTGCTGAGTCTTCAGTGTGAGCCTGAAGAACAGATTTGACTGCAGAGAATAGTGACCCTTGCAGGGCATTCCCGGCATAGAGATTAGTGTTGGGGAAAGGAGCCATGACGATGCCTGTGGAAGAAGTTGACAAATGGGGCAACAAGGCTTATGGCATGGACAGAATAGGAGGTCTGGCAGTTCTGTTCCGGCTGGCAGAATTCTACAATTTATGGGCCTTAGTTTGTATAACAGTATTTTACAATGGAACATAGAAATCATGCTTGTGAATGAATAAGTTTAACAAAAATCTAACTTGAGGATAGAATGCATGCAGCATTTAAACGGTGGTATTATGTTAAAGTAAAAATATGCCAAGTCACCACAGACAATGGTATAACAAAATGTGTGTGTGTGTGTAAGTAAAACTAGTGGGCCACATTCTTCATAGCTTCAGCAGGCCACGCACAATGCACCCCCAGGGGCTACTTGCATTCCTCCATTTCCACCGCAGTAAATTCCTTGTGTGTCATACTGCATCCTCCTCTACTTCAAGGTCTCCCTACAACTCCTCCACCCCTTTCCTCATACCAGGGGCTCAGCGTGTACCCCCATTGCTCTGGTCTGTGTGTGTCCCCTGCATATCTCCCTCCCTGTGACAGGGTGCTCAGCAGGAATGACTGAGCCAGCCCTCTGTCACTCCAGCTCCAATTAAAGGAGGTAAACCAGTGGCTAATTGGCAAAGGAGAAACAGCTGCCAGCCTGATTAGCCTGGTTCTATATACAGGCCCAGAGGCAGGGGGAGGGGAGCCAAGGAAGGAGTGTGGTAGCTCTGCCCTCCTGAGTCCAGAGACTAAGGAGTCCTCAAGGCTAGAATCCCCAAGCTGTACACCTGGTGAGAAGATGGTGGGATGGCACTATGCAAATAAACTGCACTGGTGACTGCCGAGCCAGGTGGTCTTGGAGTGGTTTTTGGAGCAGAGCAGAGGCAGAATCAAGGGGGGCCCTGCTATGCCTTGTTACACTCCCAACCACCATTCCCCACTCTCCAGGTCCTTGCTCCCCACCCTCAAGTATTTATGGTTTGCCCCTCCTGACTCCCCATCCACAACCCTGCTTTCTCCTCCCCACATCTCCACTCTGGGCCCCTGCTTCCCTCACCACCACCATTCCCCATCCCTACATTCTCTTGCAGATCCTGCTTTCCCCCCCGCCCAGCCCTCTTTGGGTCCCTGCTTCCTTCCCTCTCCATCTCCCTTTCCCCCGCTTCTGGGTCCCTGCTTCACCCATCACGACTGTCCCATCCCTCTGGTCCCTGCTGCATACCCTCACCCTGACCCCCTCCCTCTCTGGGTCCCTACTCCTCCCCCATGCACTGGGCTCTCTCCGCCCCCCCCCCCACCGCACCCCCCCCCATATATACCATGTCTAGAAAGCTCTCACTTCTGTTAGAGTCCAGGCTACAGTCTTCCCCCTCAACAGGTTAAGCTGCTGCCTCTGCTATGTACAGGGGGCAGCAGAGATTCCTCTGCCTGTGGTAACAGGCAGTCTGTGGCCCTGATTTTCCTCTGAATCAGGCACTTCTGGTGTTTTGATTTCCATCAGAACTAATAGAAGTGTGCCCACGGATGCCTAGAACATTCCATTATTTTTAAAATTGATCAGATGTGGCATACCAAAGTTATCACATTACAGACAAACACAGAAATGCCACTGAGTTGAGCGTTAGATCTTGCTCCACTCGGCCAATAAATGGATTTGGAATATCTTTAATTTAACCAAATTGCCACTCTGCATATACCACATGAATCCCGTTTTAATTTCTTTTTTAAAATGAAAAACTTTACAAGCCTACGCCAACAAAAGCAAACTCAGTGATATGAGCCCTTAGCTAGGCTAACCGGTTCAGTCAGTGACTGAATATAGTTGGGGCAGCAGCAGCACCACCCACAGGAGATGGTTCAGAATTAGGAGGCATGGTCTCCAAATTTATCGAAGTGCTGGAGTAAATCTAACATCCTGGGAGTCCCCATGAATATCTACTGTCCCTCCTTAGGGCCCATAGGAGAACCAAATCTCCCATTACTTTAGGTCCACTGATTTCTCCTATTCAGGAGAGCAATTATTAAGGCACAAATCAAATGCAAGAGGGAGGGGAGATCTTCCCATTTCATTGCCTTCCTACTGCAGCCCCCTTCTTTCCTTGCTGTTTACCCCCATATGCTTCCTGTGGGACTGTTCAACCCTGAAAGTCTTTCCAGGGGCTGAGGATTGGCTGAATCCTTGTAAATTGCCCTGTTACACTCCCTTGTAGATTTCCCTTTGCCATAGGGAGTCTGTGCCTTTCCATGGTGTTCCCCGGCTAAGAACATGTACAGACTTCAAACATGTTGCTCCTGTTTTCAGCTGTTCAAATTACTATCAGGAAAGGGACTTGGAAAAACCATCTCTCCCCATTGTATCTCATGCTCACATTATTTTAAAATTTCATTTAATAATATCTATCTCCCCTCTCATGCCCATAAAGAGATGTAGCAGGAAATGGCTGTGAATGCACTCATGAGCAAATACTCACACATGTATGAACACTCATTCCAGAGACATTTTTGTGAGCAAAAAAGGACTGTTTGCTAAATGAACACCAATAGCAAAATCAGAAGAGATACAAAACACTGCTAAAGCAAATTCAGTTTAAAATATTAATCAATATTCACTGAAATTTTCTTCAGATATTTGTCCAACTCCAATCACAATGGGGCAAATTCATTTCTAAAGACCCATCTTAGAGCCTTCATACTATTTAAGCCCTATTTGAATATTTGAGTGGGTTTTAAGAGGTGCAAAAGCCTTATGGTTTGCTGTCTGCACAGCGATGAATGTTACTCAATAATTTTTTAAAATCTGAATTTCATCCAAGTTTTTTTCCATTCCCTGTATTGCATATTCCACAATACAAAGAGGATACAAACTTCACACAATCCAAAAAAACAAAACAAAAAAAACGACCTCCCCTCCCCCCTGAAAAAAACAACCCCCACACACCAAACTTTGTGTGTTCCAAAATCTGCATCTTGCTCTAGTCTTCAGCTTCTCCTGCACTTGTATGTTTAGTACAGTTATCCATTTCAGGCACATCTTTTCCATTGCTCTTTTCTTTTCTAAAAGTCTTCATACACTTATCCAGTCTTTTTAGGAACAGATCTACATCTTGCTTTTTCATTCCAATTGCTGAAGCAGCATTGAGGTAAGCACAGGGATAGTAATTTGTATGTGACATAAAGCCTTTGAAAGTGTAGTTATTCACTGTTTGCAAAGACCCAAGGGGAACCACCCTGAAACAAACAATCACAATTCAATTAAAAATGCTCAGGGCTATTTACAGGAAGCACAGTATTCTGAAATCATTTCTATGCATAACAACATGTGTAAATTATAAACAAGCTTGTGTAAAAGTACCTGAAGTGAACCAATTATTAAAGAACATTAAAATCAAGAACTATAAAAACAGCATGGGTAGAAATAGGACTGGAACTTTTGAACTTGATGAAACCCTGAACTTTTTCAAAGATGGTATCTGTTAAGACCAATCTACCCAAAGAGGACTGTAGTAGCAGGACAAGTAAAAGTTATCAGGCAAAACAAAAAAACCCACCCCATCTTACTGCAGTACATACAGATTTACTGTAGTTCTTCTGTGTAAGAAGTGGAATAATCCAAGCTAATGAAGCATGTCTTCTGATGTGAAAATACTCAGCTCTGCCAGAGAAAGTGACATTAACTCTGTAGCAGAAGCTAGTTGACAGCAGCAATATTCAGATTAAAGAATTCTGCCAAAACAAGTTTTAGATCATCCTCTTCTTCCAAAAGGTTTAAACTGAAATCATTAAAAATTATTTGGCCTGCATTTCCCTTGCCATGTACCGTCTAGCAGTAAAAATTTTCCATCTACACTGGCTGAAATTAATTCTGGAAAGTAGGATTTTCTTTCACACTACAAAAAGCAACAAACAACATTAGAGATAAGCAATGTGTTTCCCAGGTCTTTGGCACAAAAAAGATTTTTTAAAATACAGCTGAAGCCATGTTAAATATTCCTCAAATTACAAACCTCAGTTTTTGTCAGGTACAGTAACCGCCTCCACAACTAGTGAAAGATGCATTATTACTAATTTGTATTGTGGTATCACACCTAGAAGGCCCCAATTAGAAATCAGGACCACATTGTACTAGGCACTACGGCCACAGATAACAAAAAGACTGTGAATAATTTGGGACAAGTACAATCTTAAGATTAGTGGCACCAGGTGCTACAGCAAACAGACAGGAATAGTACAACTAACATGGTAATCAGTGGTCATATCATAGCACACCAATTGTCTAACTAGCAGACAGTGTTTTGCAGGCATCCTGTCAGTGGCAAGTTTTAAGGAGAGGTTTGACAGACATTATGTAGTTAGTGGTTTAGCAAATTTTTCCAGGGAATTCCTTGCACGCATAAGGAGCAGCATGGGAGGAAGCATGAGGACACTTGTGGGAAAACTTAACTAATGGACAGTGAAGGCCGACAGCAGTGGAATGAAGAATGCATCACTCTGACTCTTTACAACCAGCGTCAAATTTGTGCTAGGGATACATGTCTACACATTATACCTCAGTTAGTTTGTAAAGGCCTAAGAACCATCACAGCACAGCAAATTTCACTGAATGTGATAAATGTTTAAAATATTTCAGATGCTCACCTTGCTCCTGATACTTGTCTTGTGAAAAGCATAGATCCAAGCTGAGTAACAGCCATGTCACTGTGTTTATCTAGGTTCTCTAGAGACAGAGCTGAAGACATAAATAGCTATGTTATAATAACTGTAATAAAGCTCCTCCTTCAGCAGAAAAGAACCATTGATAAGTTTTATCTAACAATGGTGCCCTGGTTAAGTCTTTGGGTTAGACTATAACTAATATGAACATTCTTACTATTATTTTAAATTCTTTTCAGTTTTCCACTAAATATATCCTTTCATTATCTGATTAGACCGTTTATACAGTTGAGATACTGTGTGGGGAGAGAAGTTCCAGTTTTCCAGGTTCAGCAGAATTATTGCTTACAATGAAAATCCCAAGTAAATAAAGGGACTCACTAATAATCTATTTTACTGAGGTTCAGCACCAAGCAGTTGTGGTTGAAATAACTATTAAACAGTATAAAAATAAATAAATTGTAGTAGTGAATGGTAACATGTCAGTCTTTTTACTCTCATGATCAAACAAAGCATATTTTGATCACAAGCAGTTATGTGTATAAATACAGGGCCTGAGTCACTAACTGCACTACTCCACTTTTAGGCTGATGCAAGTCCATTGATTTCAATGGACTTGTATTGGCATAAGATTAATGGAATGGAATGGTGAACCATATGCAAGCTCATCTTGTGTATGCAAGTGTATTAAAAATATAGAAAATTTCAGAAGTGCTGGCTCAGTTCAAAGCTGAACAATAATTACCTAAGGAAATAGGATTGTGTGGTGTGTTCAACAGCCTCTCATTGTAGACTTCTGCTAGCTTCCTCAGCTGACTTGAAAGATAGGAAAACATTTCCTGGAAAAAAGCAACAATTTTCAATTAATTTTCTTTTTCTTTCTTTCTCTGTTGAATAGTTAATATCAATTTTGGAAAGCTGTCAGCCTCCCGAATATATCATAAAGTATCCAAGTGGTCCCCAGTTCATATGTATTAAGCATCAGCCATTTATTTGAGTCAACAGGTCAGACAGTGTCTTTGAGCAGCGCATGGAAGCCCCTTCCTGTGTAGATCTCTCCATACACAGAGCGGGTGCCTCCATACTATGTCTTCCCTGCCTGACAAGATGAAGCAGCTCCATGTGGGCCAGCACCTGTACTCAGGATTCAATCCCTCTTTGGCTCTGCAGAATTTATATAGAAAAGGTAATCCATCCTTGAGAAGATTGTGGCAGCAAGACCCCTCCCAGGATCCTGCAATGGGAAGGGGCAAGGTGGCCTTGCTGTGATAGAGGCTGCATCTGCAAACATAGCAGACCACCTGTACTTCCACATCAGCTCTGACCTAAACTGTTCACCACCACAGGGCATCCACTGCCAGGGAGTTAGAGAGGAGCTGCCAAGGCCAAAGCTGGTGCAGGGTTGCAGCCAGTCTGCTATGCTTTCGGGCAAGAGCTTTACCATAGGTCAGCAAACCCTGCCCTCCCAACAAAATGTTGTGGGGGAATCGCCACAAAGAAATCCTTGCAGAAATAGCCACACATAAATCCCTTGTCTATAGTCTTTTACCAGGGCAGGGGACAAACTGGTTCAGTGAAAACAATACAGCAAGAAAGTTGAGATATCATTCCTCAGTGCATATTTTATATTTCCTGGTGAATATTATATTTTACATTTATTTAGTGTCTTTCATTCTGAAGGAGCCCAAAACACTTCAAATGTACATAATATAGAGCACCACTGGAGTTGAGGATGGCAACCAACTGGTGCATAACTCTGAATGTAAACAAGACATAGTGAGGAGACTAGAAGGAAATTTTGGCCCTCTATACCAGGACAACCCTCTACTCTTACAAAATTCCCATGGCATCATTCATATCCAAGTACAGCAGACAGGACGATAGCTGTGATACTCAAGACATAAAATGCTGAACCTTTGGTGAAACATGATGATATCTTTGAGCACAAATTCTATTAATAAATAGCCACTTCAAAAAAAAATGTAACCCTGCATGATGCCAAAGAAAACAGGAATAAGCATTCCTTTCATCCATCTTTTTTAGCTTCCCAATACAACACTAAAAAAGCACATTATGTTCCCATCAATATCTGATAAGAAAATATTCTTGTTTCTGAAACAGTTCTGTGATGAATCAGAATATTTCTACTATTTAGCATCACAGATTTGAATACAAATGACTGTTAAATATTAACTGTTAACCAATCAGATCAGATTTTTTTGCTTTTTGATTGATTTAAAGGTAAATAGTTGGGCAGATTTGGACCACTTGTCCACAGAGCGGTGAACACTGTTTTGCCTGCATTGCTGGCCACGTCATGCCAAACTGCTGCTTGCACTGTTTTAATCTGGAACAGTCTTAGTGTAGATAAAAAGTGCAGTTTGGCATCTGTCACTAGAGAGCTGCAACTGCCATCAGCTGCTAGAAGAATCCCTCTTTTTCTGCACCAGAAGGACAATAGGTCAGCATCTGATCTGCCTTTACAGTAAGCAAGAGAGCATTGGTATGGGTATGAATGAATTTTGTGCCATACACTATATTCTCCTCCACAGTCATCTATGCCATGCAGACAGTTCCCCTCCCTGTCCTCTTTCTGGGACAAGTAGCTAGTCACCCTGCAGCTGCTGCTCAAGCTTTCTAAACATTATAGATGGGTGTCAAAAGTTCAGATGTCATTTCATCAGCAGTTCTTTTGTTGAAAAGGATGCCAAAAGCAGAGATGCCTAAGTGAACTGTCTACCTATCCTAGCTAATGCATATACGAAATCATGATAGCAGGAAAAAAACCCACACATCACAGCTGCTTCAGGTCTTCACCAACTAAACAATTTAGTGTTAGTGATGCTCCCCTCACACCTCAGCACAGAACACAGATGGACAAGAGTCAGAACAAACACCACTCTTCCTAACACTTCCTATGGCGTTTGAGTTGTCATTTTCAACACTTCACATTGGTAGACATTGATAGGAGGTGTGGGTGTGAGAGAGAGAGAGAGGCGCAAAGACAAAGAGGTTTTAAGTTTGGGTAGCCTCATTCCTTGTCATCAGGTATCAGCTTGTTCTTCCTCCTGACTACAACGATTTTGTTCACCATTCACTTCAGTACAACTGCCCGCTTGCTACTTCTCCCCATCATTCTCTCTCATGGCTATTGCTTGGGCATCCTCCTCAATTTTAGGACTTGACAAAGAACCCTCCTTTCTACAAACAGCATCCTCCTCCATGTGTGGACCATCATCCTACCCTCTGACATATACCTCTCTGACTGGAACCAGTTAGATCTGGTGAAGTTTAATGAAGACAAATGCAAAGTGCTCCACTTAGGAAGGAACAATCAGTTTCACACATACAGAATGGAAGAGACTGTCTAGGAAGGAGTACGGCAGAAAGGGATCTAGGGGTTATAGTGGACCACAAGCTAAATGAGTCAACAGTGTGATGCTGTTGCAAAAAAAGCAAACGTGATTCTGGGATGCATTAACAGGTATATTGTGAGCAAGACACGAGAAGTCATTCTTCTGCTGCACTCTGCCCTGGTTAGGCCTCAACTGGAATATTGTGTCCAGTTCTGGGCACCGCATTTCAAGAAAGATGTGGAAAAACTGGAGAGGGTACAGAGAAGAGCAATAAGAATGATTAAAGGTCTAGAGAACATGACCTATGAAGGAAGGCTGAAAGAATTGGGTTTGTTTAGTTTGGAAAAGAGAAGACTGAGAGGGGACATGATAGCAGTTTTCAGATATCTAAAAGGATGTCATAAGGAGGAGGGAGAAAATTTGTTCATCTTAGCCTCTAAGGATAGAACAAGAAGCAATGGGCTTAAACTGCAGCAGGGGAGGTTTAGGTTGGACATTAGGAAAAAGTTCCTAACTGTAAGGGTGGTTAAACTCTGGAATAAACTGCCTAGGGAGGTTGTGGAATCTCCATCTCTGGAGATATTTAAGAGTAGGTAAGATAAATGTCTATCAGGGATGGTCTAGACAGTATTTGGTTCTGCCATGAAGGCAGGGGACTGGACTCGATGACCTATTGAGGTCCCTTCCAGCCCTAGAATCTATGTATAAAATTAAAGATACCATTTTAGGTAGCACCTCAGAGATTTTACAGAACCAAATGGGTTAAGGGAGCAGTTCTGAGAAATGTGTATACCTCCTTTTCCTGGGCCACTGAATTAACTGAATTGCAGCCTCCATCTTAGAGAAATCAAGTGAAAATGGCTCCTGAGCTGACCCTCTTAATCACATGGGATGGATTCACTCAAACAGAGAAATAGAGTCATGCCACCTAACAAAATGAATCAAACTACCTTTAAGTTCACTGACAATAACATGAAGTTTTTGAGATGTCTAGTTGGAGAAAAAAAACTTGCAAGAGGCTTCTATGGGCAGTGAGGAGGACTAGAAACTTGTGGCAAATCATTGCTGCTTTGCAGTGGCCATTTGAAATCAAACCCAATACTTCTATGGTTTGAGTACAACAGCTTGCACAGTTTGGAGTTGCTTTTATTTACAGTATCCTCTTAGAAGCTTAAAAGTAACATTTGTTCCCTTATCCAGACACTTTTTTCTTGCTCCTTGTGGAAGACAAACACCATATTCATTTGTTATTCACTTTCTTGTCACAAGAAGTTATACTCCTGGGGGGAACTCTGTGCCACAGCGTGTGCACAGAATTCATATTCCCGCAAATTTCTTTGCTTCCCTTCAGAAAAATGACTTTCTGATGGGGGAAACAAAGGGAAGTCGTAAGTGTGGTCATGCACCCCCACATCCCCAGCAGAGCAGGCATGTTATTTCAGGCACCCAGAACAGCTGACTGAGAGGTAAATCACAGAAGGGGGTGTGGATGGGGATGGGGATGCCCCAGCCGGTAGCTCCTACCTTGTGCTGGGTCCAGCTGCTAGTCCTGGCTGGACTGGGGTTGGGGGAGGACAGGACTTCCTCTTCCCCTGCAAGGAGCAGCTGGGGCCAAGTCAGACCCACCCCCAGAAACCTTCCCTGGCTGCAGGAAGCTCTGCCCTCTCCCTCTTCCTGCCCCATCACTCCTCAGCTGCGGAGGAAGGGGTCACTGTGGGGGAGCTGTCCGCCACCCATGCATCTGGAGCCCCGCATACCCAGACCCCCCATCGAGCCTCACTCCCCCAACACCCATAACCTCCCCACAGAGCTCCCTGCACCCAACCCCCCCCAGAGCCTCACCCCCATCCAGACCCATCCCTGCACCCAGACCTCTTGCTGAACCCCTGCACTTGAACCCCCACCCCAATAAGTCCCACCCCCCTCATGTGGACCACCCCTCGCTGAGCCCTCCAAACTCCAACTCCCATCCCGCCAAACCCCACTCTCCCAGCACCTAGACCTCACTGCTGAGCCCCACACACCAGAGCCCCCCCCCGCTGAGTGCCATCCCCTATACCCAGACCCCACCCCGCTGAGTCCCAATCACCTTCACTTGGATCCCTCTGAAGAGTCCCATTACCCCTGCACCCAGAACCCCCAACTAAGCCCCTGTGCATCCAGCTCCCACACACACACAGATTGTCCCACACAGAACCCTCTCACCCCACACCTGGATCTCCCCACACTAAGTCGCTCCACACTTGGATCCTGCTGGGTTGAACCTGCCTGTCCCACACCTGCTGTACCTGGCGTGGAGGGGCAGGGCCCTATAGGGTTTCTGGGGCAGGCCTGGTCCTTGTGCTGTGCCAGGATCAGGTGCAGCCTCACTGCTGAGTCTGTGTCCTAGGAGGGGCTGCAGGGTGAGCTCCTACCTCTGTGCAGCCAGTGCTCTGCGCTCCCCACTGCAATGGTGGAGCTACCACATTTATTGACAAATAAAA